GCCGCCGACTCTCCACCCCTTCCCCCAGCGGATTGGCCGCCGACCTGCCGGGGGCCGGGGCGCTGGGGCCGCCTCCTCTCCACCCCCTTTCTCGGGGTTATTCCTTTAGCTGCTTTTCTTCTCTTTCCTCGGCTCCTCTGGCGCTCTTTCTCTCGGCGTTCTAGCTCAGGCGCGCTGCCGGTAGGCCCTCCATACAGCCAAACTTGTTGTCTCAGGATATCCCGCCCCCTACTCATTTCCCAGTGCCCTCCCCTCAAATACCCATTGCAGCATCCCTCGGAACTGGCACTCGAGACAATGGTAGAAATCTCTCTCAAGGGAAGAGAGAGGGGCGAGTGAAAGGGCGCGCGGAGCACCCTACGACTCGGCGCGCCTGCTTAAATGCCCGCTGCCCCCGCGCAGGGAGCATGGCTTTCCCGAGGCGCATCCGGACCCGGGCGCCCTTTTTCCCTGGCTCGGTTCCCATTGGCTGAGCCCTTGGTGACGCGCGCTGAGTGGTGGGAGAAAGGGGGCGGGACGCTACCGCAAAGCATGGCGGCTCTTGTAGTTTCTGGTGGCCTTGGCGGCCCGGGCGAAGCACCGCCTTTCCTCCCGCCCCCGACCGAGGCCCGGCTGCCGGGCGGAAAGCTGCCCGAGGGGGCGGCGGCAGCAGGGCGTGGCCGGGGCCGAGTGGGAGTTGAACTGAGAGGGAGGGTTGGAGAATGGGTGTTGTTTGCCTGGGCCTATCCGCCGCTCGGGGCTGCCCAAACCACCGCTGCCACCGCCTCCTCGATTCCAAGCCGCTCCCCGCGGGGCGAGCTCACACCCGGAGCGCTCGGCGATTGAGCGGACGGCGGCGTGGGGAGGCGGGGTTTGCTGTCCTCAGGGTTTGAATGAACCGGGCTACTTGGGGCAGCGCCTCTTTTTTCCTTTCTTCGCTCGCCTCCTCCCTCAGGCCTCCGGCTTCAGATCCGAGGCCTGTTTTCCCACAGAGACTCTTCCATCTTATGTGTTGTCTCTAGCTGGCTGCTGGAGCGAACAGTAGCCCGCCTTCTAAGGTTGCAAGGGTGTTTTGCCGAATGACACTCGTGGGTGGCTGACTTACCACTCTGACCGGTCTCACTGACTCTCTGGACAGAGAAAAGCCCAGCTCTATCTGGGTCAGCCTAGGTCACGGGTCAGCAAAAACTGCCGGGCAGGTGGAATGAATTCACGTCTGGGTGCACAAAGCTTTTTATAGTCGAATGCACTTGAGCAGTCTCTCCTGACTCGCTTCTCTCTGAAGTCCTGAAGTCTGGGCAATATCATGAAATGTAATAAGCGCCTGATAGAGTGTGCCAAAGGTGGAAATGAGTCGTTCATGTAAATACTGGCCTTGAGGAGTAGGCACCTTTACACATCCAGGTCCACAGCCACCCACTCATTTTTTACCTGTGCTCCACACGTAGCCTTAAGCATTTTTGTCTCCTGCCTGAGGCCTGACTTGTTGCAAGTGTAAGAAGGTCCCAGATGCTGTACTTGACTGGCATTTCCTTTGCTTGTTACAGTAATTGCAGTATCAGTGATGACAAAGCCAGCCGTGCAGCAAGACAAAGAATTCGAATGAAGAATTATATAGTATTGTATACCCTTTAAAAAAAAATGAGTGTAAGGTCTTTAATCCCCGTTCCCACCACCATAAACATTATAGAAAGCTCAAAAGTGTTTTATTCATTTACACACATAGGGTCTATTCCTAGGTCTTTTGCCCCCACCTGCCAGTTCACTATGATTAATGAAGGAAGACATGTTGCAATCTTATAATTGGGATGCAGTTTTCTTACCTGCTTCAAGAGGGCAATATACTGGGTCTGAACCTTCGGTTAAAAAAAAGCATGCTGATCATTCAAAATGACTCTATAAAGGCTCCGACATATTCTATAGACAAATGATATAATGGCATTATTTCTCAAAATAGCGCAGAAGAGGAAGATAATTTTCCTCTACTTTTATGAGTTCTTAATGAGACCCACGAAATAAAAGATTAACAGGAGAAATAACAAATAGCATGTTACTAACATGCATTAATACCTCATATACATGGAAGGTACTCAGAAAAAATTAACAGCCCCCAGAGGGGGCTTAGAATTAAGGTTTAAATATCATCTTAATAGGGAAGGGGAGAGGAGGAGATGTCTTTTGGGGGATTTTAGGAAAGATGAATGGCCCTGCGGCAAAGTGGATCCAATACAAAGTTGTGACAAAGTTGTTGGGTGTGGTATAGAGTTCTACTGGCTTGTGATAAAGTCGATCTTCTCTAGTTGAAGAAACTCCTGAGGAAAGGGATTTATGACAACTAACGTCCTTTCTCTGTCCAGAAGTACATGATAAAGGCAGTGGATACAGAGGCTTGCATCTGTCCCTTGACTGAGTCATGAGCTCTAGGACAGGTGACCTAAATTAATCACATCTTAGGCACCATCATTTTGTTATCTGTAGAAGTTTTTAACTAGATGAGATCATTCCAAAATGATAGCCATTCTTACTTTATCTTCCTAATGTAATGTATGCATCACCTATGTTATGATTTGCTTAATGATTTTCTTTGAGCCAATTCACATTTTTTCCTAACTTACTTAATTTAAGAAGTTGATTATCACCATGGTACATAGAAAGCCAGTATCATTTGTTGTAGAGGTAAGTACAAATATGCACTCAACAAAATTCTCAGCCTCAGGCCTGCAAGGATGGTCTCAGCCCAGATGAAGCAATTGTTCTAAAAGCTTCCTACATTCATTTTACCCATAAAATGTTAGCTTTCAAACTTTATCATAACCTTCAGGAATAAATACATTTTACATGTGTGTACACACACACAGAGGAAATCAGTCTCTTTAATCAAAATATTTAGCAACAACATCGAGTAATGATTGCTCAGATCAAAGACTACCAGGATACTCCCCATCATAACTTAAGATCTTTAGTTTATCTACAAATAGTACTCCCTTCTCACCCTTCCCCCTAAAACATTTTAGTAACAGTCCTGTGCTTCAAAACCAGTATCCTATGGACTATTTTTTCTCCTCCCATTTTTGTGGAGTGGAAAGTCCATATTTCAAATTACATTGCAGGGTGAAGATAATCCTTAGGTAGCTTTACTGTGGTAGGTAGCTCTGTACACCTAAATAAATTCTTAGCCTACATTTAGAAAATGATGCTGGAACTTTTCAGAGGTATCTTTGATATAAAATTTCCTCTGGTTACCACTTTCTAGGAAGGACCTAGCATTTCTCAACTACTAAGTCAGTCAATAAGTCTTGAATACTACATATAATCAAACTAAAATCACCACTCAAAGATCAGGACTGTTAATCCCCCCTCACAGTGCACTTAGTTACATTTAGAAATACTTTTAATACATATACATTTGGATGAATGTTACAGAAGCAACTCCAAAGGAAAGTTAATACAAGTGAAGAAAGTTAGGCCCAGATATGTCAGGTGACTTGAATAACTAAAAGATACTGGGTTTGAGTATCATCAGGAACAACTCGCTGAAATAATTATTAAACTCCTTCCCTTTGTCTTTGGGAAGCACAAGGTAAAAAGAAGCCACAAGCTAGAGAAAGGTCAAAATGTAACATCCACCTCTGAGCTATATTGAATTAACTGAGAGTGTAACTAAGAATACTGTACAAACTCAGTAAGCATATTTTGATAAAACAACTAGCTTCATTATTACATCTGGACACCATGTATAACCTCTATTATAATAAAACCCTAGTGGTGTACATAATTACATTAAAAAATAAGTCCCAGGGCCCTCGGTGGGCTAGCGGTTTAAAGTACAGCACTAAGAAACTAAAGCCACTTCAGCATGAGTTCGATCCTCGGCCCATGGGTGACCCACGTGGCGTGACAGACCTCTCCTGACCTGCCCGCTGCTCCCCTCAGCAGTGTACTTTGTCAATCAGCCTGTTCTGCTCCCACTCTGTCTCTGATGAGACCTCTCACCACCCCTACACCTCTGGCCTATACCCCAGTTCTGTATGCAAAAATGAGCCAATCTTTTAAAAAAAAAGTTCCATGCCAACAGTAAGTTTGTCAGGGTGTAGAGAAAGTTTTAAACACTTAATTGTAATGTAACTGGGACCTGAATATAGAACCTTACATGGAAATAGTAAAAGAGATAACCTCTTAAGAGTTATAAATAAATGAAATATAAATAAAAATAAATACTTTTT